ATTTAAAGTAACTGTTCTCTTTCAAGGGAACTCGAGCTGCGTCAAAACGCCGTGGGATTGTGTCATGAAGCACGTATGAAACCAGTCACGGCATCGGCCAGGAAACTATAAAGCGCACCTGAACCAAACATTGACAGTAAAAGCAGGGTTCTCAAGTCTCACGCATTGGCCGTGAGACACACGCAATTCAACCAGTTCACACGCTCACACGCCACACCGTGTATTTCTCACGCTGAAAAGGCAATGCCAACCAAGTTGTCCTGCAAGCTTTATATATAACGTTGTATACGAGGCGCAGGCACACAAAGTGAAGTTTCCTGCCGCCAGCGCGTCCGTATCTCGGCCAGATTGCGTTCGTTACTAGGCAACATAGATGCACAAACACACGGAAGTTGACGGAACATTCTCGGCTATCGCGCGAACGTACGCACACACATTCTCGGCCACCGTACGTTCGTTACTAGGTAACCAACAATATCGCGTGAACACACGTCGTGATCATAGGCCATGATGGGGAAGGTAAGTTGGAAGAAAGCTCTTCTAACATTTTTAGGCTATTTGTTTGACGTTTGACGTTGAAAAGACGTCCACTGAGGAGCCAGAATGAAAGTTTTTATGACGTCTTTTTTTGACGTGTTCTGCACGTCCGATATAGACGTTCATGGACCCTCTTCCTACAAGGTTAAAAACTTGTTCAAATGTGGCCATTGTGGACATATTTTTTACATAATTTATGGTCTCATTTAGACATAATTACTTTGACTATTGCTGTCAGATGATATTAGTGAGAATTAGCAGAGGTTTAGATGTTGATATTTGTTTCATTTGAAGTGTCACCATTGTGGTGATCAGTGTTTGCTTTAGTTGGGCTCTTGGTCCCCTTTATTTTTACTTTAGCTTTTCTTTGGCTGCTGTAACTGTATGTTTGTAAAACACACTGTTATTTGCAACTGATGTTGCAAAGAAAGCCAAGAATAAGTAACATCAGGTGTTATCAGCTTCATGTTGATGATGATGAAATCATCACAAAACAAGCATATAATGTTGTCAGATACTTTGGCATTTCTAGCCGCCTACCTTGTAGAACTGCAATATTGGCACCAATAGCATTTATAATATCACTTATTTAGAGGTGGATAAAAATTCTGTGCATATGATGTTTAGAGCAAACATATCATGTTGTAACACACAGACATCAAGATTTTGCATATGATTCACAACAATGGTGACAACAAAAATCATCATGCTGCAATGCATGATGGGTAGCCTTCATAGTTCAAAACTCATCATTGATTCCCAAGCTTTTTTGTTTTGATTGTCACCGTTGTTGTGATTCATAGCCAAAATCTTAATGCCTGTGTGTGACTACATGATGCATTTGCTCAAAACATGTGCACATGCTTTTTATACTTTAAAAATATTTTTTATTCTATTGGCACCAATATTGCAGTTCCACAAGGTTGGTGGTTGAGAATCCCAAATATAAACACAATTTCAAACTCAACATTTGATGCTTGTTTTGTGATGATTATGTCATCATCAACATTGAGCTGAAAACACCTGATCTTACTTTTTCTTGGCTTTCTCTGCCACAACATTTGTGTCATACAAACACACAGTTACAGCAGCCAAAGAAAAGCTAAAGTAAAAATAAAGGGGACCAAGAGCCCAACTAAAGCAAACACTGATCACCACAATGGTGACACTTCAAATGAAACAAATATCAACATCTAAACCTCTGCTAATTCTCACTAATATCATCTGACAGCAATAGTCAAAGTAATTATGTCTAAATGAGACCATAAATTATGTAAAAAATATGTCCACAATGGCCACATTTGAACTAGTTTTTAACCTTGTAGGAAGAGGGTCCATGAACGTCTATATCGGACGTGCAGAACACGTCAAAAAAAGACGTCATAAAAACTTTCATTCTGGCTCCTCAGTGGACGTCTTTTCAACGTCCGACTTTTGTGACAAAGACGTTGAAAAGACGTCTTTTGGACATCATTGTGTTTAGTGGGTAATGTGAAATCATACAGAGAAAAGCCAGTCAATAAAAACCTTTTACAGTGCTTGTATATTGTTTTCTTTCAATGCATTTGATAATTCATACTCATAATGCATGTCATTTCAGGTCTACTTTATAAGATTATTAGTTAAACATTGCAAAATGCACCTGCATACTATTTTTTTTGTCATTGAGGATTTCTAAAAAAATTGTGCACAAAATCTCGTCTCGTCTCGTTCTCGTGAACCCAATCTCGTGTCTCGTCTCGTCTCGTGAGATAAGCGTCTCGTCACACCCCTATCCTATAGTACTGCAGGCCTTCTGTCCTCCTCCAGACGTCAGACCAAGAGAAACTTTACCTGCTCTGCCCAGTTAGGGCCTCAGGCCCCATCCACACTACTGCGTTTTAGTTTAGAAACGGATAATTAAAACGAATACGATCTCCGTCCACACCAGCGTTTTAGCTGCGTATTAGAATTGATCTCCGTCCACATTAAAACGACTGAAAACGCGGATCACGTGACCATTCACCAACACTGGGCATGCGCGCGCCGGTGTAAACACAACTTCATTGATAAAATTATCCCACCATGCTCTGGGTTAACCCCAAACCGACGCTCCATGTACGGTCAACGCCGCCGCTGCTCACGGGAATTGTCACAGATCGCTGGAATAATAGCTTGACTCCGGCGCATGTAGTTGTAAAATGCAGAATTTACTTGTACAACAGCGGCTAGCAAAGATATATGCCATGACGGATGACACCCAATCATAGAGCCGAGCGTGAGCCTCTACTACGTCATCGTTTCTAAAGTCCTCAGTCTTGACCCGTCTACACTAAAACGCCCTCCGGAGATTCAAAACGAAAAACGGATCGGCAGCGTTTCTAAACTTCTCCGTTTTAGTGTGGACGGGAGGAGCAAACGTAGCAAAAGATCTCCGTTTTTAAACGAAAACGCAGTAGTGTGGACGGGGCCTTTGATGAGCTATGGATAAAGTCTGAACACTGTCCGTTCACAAAGCGGTGCGCGGCATCTAAGCAGAGGATGAGCACGTGGGTAATCGAGGCTATCTCACTTGCGTACGAGTGGGATGCTCAGCCTTTACCTTTGGCTGTGCGAGCCCAAAGCATTACTGTCGGGAGTTTCCTTTCAAGAGGTTTGTGATGCGGCAGGCTAGTCCTCACACACACATTCGTGAGGCTTCGCTACCTTGACCTCGGCTCCAAATGCGCATTGATTTCACACGACGGGCACTTGCTCTTATGGCGGCGTGGCTATTAGCATTCCCACAGTGCTTCGACGCAGCGTCTCGTTCCCTCTTCAGGGAACTAGGGTTACATACGTAACCGAGACGTTTTTAAAAGAAGTCTCTTCTACTCACCAAGGCTGCATTTATTTGATAAAAAAAAAAACAGTAATATTGTCAAATATTACGACAATTTAAAATAACTGTTTTCTATTTTAAAATATTTTAAAATGTAATTTATTCCTGTGATCAAAGCTGTATTTTCAGCATCATTACTCCAGTCTTCAGTGTCACATGATCCTTCAGAAATCACTCTAATATGAGGATCTGATGCTCAAGAAACATTTATGATTATTATCAGTGTTGAAAACAGTCGTGTACATTTTATTTTTCAGGATTATTTGATGAATAGAAAGTTCAAAAGAGCAGAATTTATCTGAAATAGAATATTTTGTAACATTATAAATGTCTTTACTGCCACTTTCACATCCTTGATGAATAAAAGTATTGATTTATTTTATTTATTTCCCCCAAAAAATAAAATATAAATTGTTACTGACCCCAAACTGTTGAACGGTAGTGTTTAATGTTACAAAAGCTTCTATTTCAGATAAATGCTGTTCTTTTGAGCTTTCTATTCATCAAAGAATCCTGAAATAAAAATGTAAGTAACTGTTTTAAGCATTGAAAATAATCATAAATGTTTCTTGAGCATCAGATCCTCATATTAGAGTGATTTCTGAAGGATCATGTGACACTGAAGACTGGAGTAATGATGCTGAAAATACAGCTTTGATCACAGGAATAAATTACACTTTACTGTATATTCACATAGAAAACAGATGATTTACATTGGAATAATATTTCACAATTTTACAGTATGTTTGATCAAATAAATGCAGCCTTGGTGAGCAGAAGAGACTTCTTTTAAAAACAATAAATTCTTACCGATCCCAAACTGATATTGAAGTGATTGTAATATGGTCGTGTAACTGGACACACACTCTGAGCCAGGGGAAGATGTCGACGAGTCCTCCTCTGGCGATGGTCTGCACGATCCCGTCGTTGTAATCCATGACCTTCAGGAGCTCGGGATCGTTCGGCTGATACGAGGAGCTGAACACGAGTCGACAGATGACGTTAGTGACGGCCCGCATCAGAACCGGACTCAGATCTGAACTCTGACCCCTGAGGGACCCGAGCTCCTCACACAGACTGTCTGCGGCCTCTAGAACTAACACACACACACACACGCACACACACATACAGACACACACACGCGCACACACACATAGACACGCGCACACACACACAGACACATGGATACACACACACACATACAGACACACATACAGACACACACGCCCACACAGACACACACATACACACACACAAACATATACAGACACAAACACACGCACACAGACACACACGCACACACACAGACACATGGGTACACACACACACATACAGACACACATACAGACACACACGCGCACACAGACACACACATACACACACACAAACATATACAGACACAAACACACGCACACACACATATACAGACACACACACGCACACACACACACACATGCGTGCACGCACACACACACACACACACACATACAGAAACAAGCACTCACGCACGCACACACACACACATAGACACACACACACAAGCACAGACACACAAAAACACGCACATGGATACACACACACACACACACATACACAAGTCAAGGCTCATACTGCCGTTATGCTGATTTACTTTTTACTGTTGAAAAAGCATTTTTTACAGTAGCGATAATCAGCACTGAGAACATTCCTCACTGGCCAGAATGTGTTTAAATGCCAAACATATAGCGCATTAATGCACAAAATCTTCATTTTCGACATGCAACACATCTGGTTTAAGACTGAAATCTGGACATGAGTCTACAGAAGTATTACTCTAAGTGTATGAACACAAAAACGTTGATATTCCAGAAATTGTTTAATGCGAATATGAACAGACTTCCATGTGATGTAATGTGATGTGATGTGTTGTGCTTCCTCCCTTTGTTCTTTTCTATTTATATGTTTTGAATAATCCTTGTAATGTTGGGGACATTTAATTTAATATTCAACAATAATATTGCTCTCCTGCATTGACACTATTATACAAGAACTGAACTGAGCTGGATGATGACATCACGGTTTCTCCAGAGCGCCTATATATATAAATATAAACTAAATTAATAACTTTTTTACAACAAAAATAACACATCACTGAACGTTACTTAAGCTGGACTGTGACGCTTTTCTCTTCTGGAAACACACTTTGTTTCATTATTTTCCTGTTATCTCTGTAAAGCTGCTCTGAAACACTTATGAATGAAGCTGACTCGACTTGTAATGCCTTAAACAGCAGAAAAAAGAGTTCAGAGTGTAGAGTTCAGAGTGAGTGTAGAGTTCAGAGTGAGTGTAGAGTTCAGAGTGTAGAGTTCAGAGTGTAGAGTTCAGAAGAGTGTAGAGTTCAGAGTGTAGAGTTCAGAGTGTAGAGTTCAGAGTGTAGAGTTCAGAGTGAGTGTAGAGTTCAGAGTGTAGAGTTCAGAGTGTAGAGTTCAGAGTGAGTGTAGAGTTCAGAGTGAGTGTAGAGTGAGTGTAGAGTTCAGAGTGAGTGTAGAGTGAGTGTAGAGTTCAGAGTGAGTGTAGAGTGAGTGTAGAGTTCAGAGTGAGTGTAGAGTGAGTGTAGAGTTCAGAGTGTAGAGTTCAGAGTGAGTGAAGAGTTCAGAGTGAGTGTAGAGTGAGTGTAGAGTTCAGAGTGTAGAGTTCAGAGTGTAGAGTTCAGAAGAGTGTAGAGTTCAGAGTGTAGAGTTCAGAGTGTAGAGTTCAGAAGAGTGTAGAGTTCAGAGTGTAGAGTTCAGAGTGTAGAGTTCAGAAGAGTGTAGAGTTCAGAGTGTAGAGTTCAGAGTGTAGAGTTCAGAGTGAGTGTAGAGTTCAGAGTTTAGAGTTCAGAGTGAGTGTAGAGTTCAGAGTGTAGAGTAGAGTTCAGAGTGTAGAGTAGAGTTCAGAGTGTAGAGTTCAGAGTGTAGAGTTCAGAATGTAGAGTTCAGAATGAGTGTAGAGTTCAGAGTGTAGAGTTCAGAGTGAGTGTAGAGTTCAGAGTGTAGAGTGAGTGTAGAGTTCAGAGTGTAGAGTTCAGAGTGAGTGTAGAGTTCAGAGTGTAGAGTTTAGTGTAGAATTCAGAGTGAGTGTAGAGTTCAGAGTGTAGAGTTCAGAGTGTAGAGTTCAGAGTGAGTGTAGAGTTCAGAGTGTAGAGTTCAGAGTGAGTGTAGAGTTCAGAGTGAGTGTAGAGTGAGTGTAGAGTTCAGAGTGAGTGTAGAGTGAGTGTAGAGTTCAGAGTGAGTGTAGAGTGAGTGTAGAGTTCAGAGTGAGTGTAGAGTGAGTGTAGAGTGAGTGTAGAGTTCAGAGTGTAGAGTTCAGAGTGAGTGTAGAGTGAGTGTAGAGTTCAGAGTGTAGAGTTCAGAGTTCAGAGTGTAGAGTTCAGAGTGTAGAGTTCAGAAGAGTGTAGAGTTCAGAGTGTAGAGTTCAGAAGAGTGTAGAGTTCAGAAGAGTGTAGAGTTCAGAGTGTAGAGTTCAGAGTGTAGAGTTCAGAGTGAGTGTAGAGTTCAGAGTGTAGAGTTCAGAGTGAGTGTAGAGTTCAGAGTGTAAAGTAGAGTTCAGAGTGTAGAGTAGAGTTCAGAGTGTAGAGTTCAGAATGAGTGTAGAGTTCAGAGTGTAGAGTTCAGAGTGTAGAGTTCAGAGTGAGTGTAGAGTTCAGAGTGTAGAGTTCAGAGTGAGTGTAGAGTTCAGAGTGTAGAGTTTAGTGTAGAATTCAGAGTGAGTGTAGAGTTCAGAGTGTAGAGTTCAGAGTGAGTGTAGAGTGAGTGTAGAGTTCAGAGTGTAGAGTTCAGAGTGTAGAGTTCAGAATGAGTGTAGAGTTCAGAGTGTAGAGTTCAGAGTGAGTGTAGAGTTCAGAGTGTAGAGTTCAGAGAGTAGAGTTCAGAGTGTAGAGTTCAGAGTGTAGAGTTCAGAGTGAGTGTAGAGTTCAGAGTGTAGAGTTTAGTGTAGAATTCAGAGTGAGTGTAGAGTTCAGAGTGAGTGTAGAGTTCAGAGTGTAGAGTTCAGAAAAGTGTAGAGTTCAGAGTGTAGAGTTCAGAGTGTAGAGTTCAGAGTGAGTGTAGAGTTCAGAGTTTAGAGTTCAGAGTGAGTGTAGAGTTCAGAGTGTAGAGTAGAGTTCAGAGTGTAGAGTAGAGTTCAGAGTGTAGAGTTCAGAGTGTAGAGTTCAGAATGTAGAGTTCAGAATGAGTGTAGAGTTCAGAGTGTAGAGTTCAGAGTGAGTGTAGAGTTCAGAGTGTAGAGTGAGTGTAGAGTTCAGAGTGTAGAGTTCAGAGTGAGTGTAGAGTTCAGAGTGTAGAGTTTAGTGTAGAATTCAGAGTGAGTGTAGAGTTCAGAGTGTAGAGTTCAGAGTGTAGAGTTCAGAGTGAGTGTAGAGTTCAGAGTGTAGAGTTCAGAGTGAGTGTAGAGTTCAGAGTGAGTGTAGAGTGAGTGTAGAGTTCAGAGTGAGTGTAGAGTGAGTGTAGAGTTCAGAGTGAGTGTAGAGTGAGTGTAGAGTTCAGAGTGAGTGTAGAGTGAGTGTAGAGTGAGTGTAGAGTTCAGAGTGTAGAGTTCAGAGTGAGTGTAGAGTGAGTGTAGAGTTCAGAGTGTAGAGTTCAGAGTTCAGAGTGTAGAGTTCAGAGTGTAGAGTTCAGAAGAGTGTAGAGTTCAGAGTGTAGAGTTCAGAAGAGTGTAGAGTTCAGAAGAGTGTAGAGTTCAGAGTGTAGAGTTCAGAGTGTAGAGTTCAGAGTGAGTGTAGAGTTCAGAGTGTAGAGTTCAGAGTGAGTGTAGAGTTCAGAGTGTAAAGTAGAGTTCAGAGTGTAGAGTAGAGTTCAGAGTGTAGAGTTCAGAATGAGTGTAGAGTTCAGAGTGTAGAGTTCAGAGTGTAGAGTTCAGAGTGAGTGTAGAGTTCAGAGTGTAGAGTTCAGAGTGAGTGTAGAGTTCAGAGTGTAGAGTTTAGTGTAGAATTCAGAGTGAGTGTAGAGTTCAGAGTGTAGAGTTCAGAGTGAGTGTAGAGTGAGTGTAGAGTTCAGAGTGTAGAGTTCAGAGTGTAGAGTTCAGAATGAGTGTAGAGTTCAGAGTGTAGAGTTCAGAGTGAGTGTAGAGTTCAGAGTGTAGAGTTCAGAGAGTAGAGTTCAGAGTGTAGAGTTCAGAGTGTAGAGTTCAGAGTGAGTGTAGAGTTCAGAGTGTAGAGTTTAGTGTAGAATTCAGAGTGAGTGTAGAGTTCAGAGTGAGTGTAGAGTTCAGAGTGTAGAGTTCAGAGTGTAGAGTTCACCGATGGTCTGCAGTTTACTGGATCCCTCTCCGAACAGTGTGAACGAGGAGTGGACCAGTCGCCGGTGGCTCTTCCACAGCGGGCTGTAGTCGGCAAACGCTATATCCTTCCCGCCCTGAGTCAACAGATCTGTGGTCACCTTGGCAACCACACACACACACACACACACACAGAGAGATTAGACACCACCGGAGAGTCAAGAGCCGCGGCTTTCAACTATTTAAAAACCAATGGTGATCAATGTGAAAATGTTAATGTTAACACAAAACTTAAGAACAGACACAGGTCATACTTCACCATAAAGTCAAAAATATACATGGTGATAAAATAAATATATATATATATATTACATATATGTAAATATATTATATTTTGCATTACTTCCATCACAATTAACCGTTCACTTCACTGTTATTACAGCAATGTAAAAAAAAAATACATTCTCATTACTGTAATGCAAAAGATTAGTAATTCTGAAGTATTGACATATAAAATAATATTTCTTCATTTGCTCATTTAAATAAAAAGCATTGTATTACACTTTTTTACTGTATTACCATCGACAATTAGCACTGAGAATATTGGGAATTACAAAAAACTTACTAAACTAATAAAGTAGCAGAGTTTAATTTTGTTACATTACAGTAATGAGAATTTAGTTGGAAATGTGTTTAAATGTCATGAATTTTAGTGTCATAATGCAAAAATATCTACATTTTCTACATGCATAGTTTAATTCACATTACAGTTTAGTTGAAAATGTGTTTAAATATGAATTGTAGTGACAATGCAAAAAATATCTACATTTTCTACATGTAAAAATGTTTGACTTTTTAAATGTCTTGAATATTTTGCATCATGACACTATAATTCATGATATTTAAACACATTTTTAACCAAACTGTAATGTGAATTAAATGTTGCATGTAGAAAATATTGATATTTTTTCATTATGGCACTAAAACCTACATTTCAACATGCAAAATTTAATTCTCACTACAGTTTTTTTGAAAATGTGTTTGAAAATGTGAAAAAATTTATTTCATAATGCAAAAAGAAAATCTACAATTTCTACACGCAAAATTTATTTCACATTACAGTTTGGTTTAATTTTTTTTAAATGTCATGAATTATAGTGTCACAATGCAAAAAAAATAAAACTTTTCTACATTCAAAATTTAATTCACATTACAATTGGGTTGATAATCTGTTTAAATGTCATGAATTATAGTGTCATGATGAAAAAAATAACTACATTTTCTACGTGTAAATTTTTTTACATTACAGTTTTTTTGAAAATGTGCTTAAATGTCAAGTAAATTTTAAATATAAAAAAATGTAATATAAAT